GGGCCTGGGGGTCTTGTCCGGAGTGTCCCTGGCCAGGTCCTGGCCTTGAATCCACCATCAGCCATCTGCTCTGGTTCCAGGATGGGGGAGAGGCAGACACGGGGACAGTGGTGACCACATTGTGGGGCCCATCATGCTGTGGGTGAAGGCTCCTCGGATCTCAGGCCCCTCACACTTCCCCCATTGCTGTGCCGCTGCCCCTGGGTCCTCATCCAGGCTGGAGCCCGGCTCAGCTTCTGCTTGGGGCCCTGGCACTGTTGCCACCTGTGCTCCTGGGCTGCTGGGTGTTGGGGGGGCCGAGTGCCGCTTGCAGACCCCAAGGCTACGGCACCGTGTGGCTTCTGGCCATCGTCTTGTTTGGCTCCTGGCTCTTAGGTGGCTAGTGCAGGTTCTGGAAGGGCCTGAGGCCCAGAGAGGGCCGGGAGTCTCTCCCAGGTCACACAGCAGGCACGGCTGCCGGCTCGCCGCCTGGCTGTAGGTCCAGGACGTCACTATGGGGGTGTCTTCTCTGTAAAGCGGGAGCAGTGAGGGGTTACCCTGCCTGGCAGGGAACGAAGGGAAACGAGTCCTAACTCCTGACTCTGGCACAACAAAACCCGCACACAGACAGTTTAAAGTTTGTTTTAAAGATTTTTTTTTTTTATTGGAAAGTCAGATTTATAGAGAAGGAGAAACAGAGAGATCTTTCATCTGCTGATTCAGTCCCCGAGTGGCCACAATGGCCGGAGCTGAGCCACTAGGCTACCATGCCAGACCCAGTTTTTTCTTTTCTTTTTTTCTTCTCTTCTCTCTTTTTTAATCTATGTGAAGCATGGAGTTACAGAAAGAGAGGGAGACACGGAAAGAGGAAGAGATCTTTATGTCCTGAAAGAGCCACCAGAGCCAGGCTCAAACAGCTCCTTCAGGCTCTCCCGTGTGGGAGTGCAGGCCCCAGGGCCTGCGCCATCCCCTGCTGCTTTCCCAGGTGTACTAGCAAGGGGCTAGATGGGAAGTGGAGTGGTTGGGACTCGAACCGGCACCCACACGGGATATAAGCGCTGCAGGCAGAGGCTTAGTCTTAGCAGGTGATGTTTCAAGTTTCCCTTATGTTAAGACAGCAGGAAGTGCTGACCAGTACCGGCCACTCCGGGAGTCTGGTGGCTGGTGCTGAGAGCGCTGACGCTGTGAGCCGCCCGTGGGCGAGGCCTTGCGGCCAGCAGGGCTGGCCCCTTGCGCAGTGCCGAGGGACAAGGTGGCAGGAAGGTCCCTTTCTGACTCCACTCCCAGCAGCCGGACGTTCCCTGGCTCCTTCCCACCCAGCCTTGGCCAGGCTTGACCTCTTCCTCAGTTTCCCCTCCCACCCTGGGACCTTGCGCTCAGGCCTGTTCCCGGTGGCACCAGCCCAAGGCCTGCTTCCCAGAGGCCGAGCCAGGCGCTGCTGGCCTTGAACTCATGAATGGGCAACCCAGCTGGACTTGGTGGGGCGCGGGAGGCTTGGGGCAGGCCTGGGGCCAGCTCAGGTCCGGGCTGTCCTTGGCCTCCGCGGCCGGTCAGACAGACCCCCCTTTGTGTGGGAGCCTGGATGGCTCTCTTTAGCTCTCTGTCTGAGGCAGCCAGGGTTGCCGGCGGCAGGCACGGGCCCAGCGCCGGGGAGGCGGGGTGGCCACGGCAGCTCCGTGGGTGTGGGCCCTTTCCTGGGAGAGGGCTGCCTTCCTGGGACCCCTGACCCCTGTGGGTGCCAGGAGGGGAGGGAGGGAGGGAGTGGGGCTCGGCCTGGCTCCTGCCTGCCACTCCCACCTCTGCCCTGCCAGGGAGAACCGCTCTCTGGCTCACAGCCACAGAACCCTGCGCGTGTTCTAGAAGTTGATGGAAAGAAGTGGGCACTTCTAAACGTTCATGGAAAATGGGATGGGTGCAAAAATGCTTGATTTTTTAAAAAGACTTATTTTTCTTTATCTGAAAGGCAGTTAGAGAGAGGCAGAGAGATCTTCCATCCACCAGTTCACTCGCCCCTGTGGGTGGCAGGATCCAAGGTCTCCAACCATCGTCTTCTGTCCCAGGTGCATCGGTGGGGAGCTGAATCAGAATTGGAATAGCCGGGACTCAAATTGGCACTTCCATGGGGATGGCGGTGTCGTCAGTGGCGGCTGAGCCCACTGTGCCACGTTGTCGTCACCTGCTCTGTCCTGTCTGTTACAGACATGGCCCTCATCTCAGAATCCCCTGGCACCTGGGTGTGATGGAGAACTGCCTGGGGCTGCCAGGTGAGAACTCCAAAGGCCTTCTGCCGAGTGGGAAGGAGGCAGAACCTGGGCCGTGGGTGGGGAGTGGGGTTGTTAACAGGTCAGCTGCTGTGGAACCCTGGGTCCATGACGTCCCGTGGGAGCAGGGGGAGTTTGGGGGATGGAAGTCCAATCATGCCACGTGCTGGGTGGTGGAGATGGTCACATGGTCACATCAGAGTGCATAAAACCATTCTGGAAAAAAAGAGGGCCTGGCGCGGAAGCCTATTGGCTAAAGTCCTCACCTGGCATGTGCCAGGATCCCATATGGGTGCTGGTTCTAATCCTGGTGGCGACACTTCCCATCCAGCTCCCTGCTTGTGGCCTGGGAAAGCAGTCGAGGATGGCCCAAAGCCTTAGGACCCTGCACCCATGTGGGAGACCTGGAGGAAATTCCTGGCTCCTGACTTCAGATTGGCTCAGCTCTGGCCATTGCAGCCACCTGGGGTGTGAATCAACGGATGGAAGATCTTCCTCTCTGTCTCTCCTATAAATCTGACTTTCCAATAAGAATAAATAAATAAATATTTTTTAAAAGTTTATTTTACCGTGTGTCCATGAAAAGGAATACTATATGAAAGAGTGAATTTAACTCCCTCTCAAAATGCTTTTCTGGTGGTGCGCGGCGGAGGGAGCCGGGCCGTGGGTTCTGGGACTAATGCGGCTCTTGGGATGGTGGGAACTCTCTCTTTCTTTCTTTCTCTCCCTCCCCACCCCAGCAACTGCCACCACTAAAGTGAGGCACAAGGGAAGTTTTGTGGAGCCCAAAAATAAAGAACTAACTGGGAGCCCAGTTGCCAGGGCAACCGTGACATCACCCTGGGACCCGCGTGGCTGGCACTAACGGCCGGGGAGGTGGGGTTGGCCCAGCCTGGTTGCAGGCCACCTCCCGGCCACCTCTGTGGTCACATGGCGTCATCTCCTGCTTATTTTTTAAATTTGTTTGAAAGAGTAGCACAGAGAGAGATTGAGCGCGCGTCTGTCTGCTGGCTTACTCCCCCAGTACTTGCATAAGCAGGGCCAGGTCAGGCCCAGCCCAGAGCTTGGGACTCCACCTGGGTGTTCTGCGGGGTAGAGGGCAGCCACGTGCTTCTGCCCTCACCTGCTGCCTGCCAGCGTGTGTGTGTGTGTGCATGGAGCCGGGTGGGAAGTGGGGCAGCCGGACTGGTCAGCTGAGACTCTCCAATGAAGGCCCCACTCACAGGTCCTGGGCTAGGGACACGTCTGTCACACGCTTGTCTCTTTAGGCTGCTGGTATTGACAAAGCCAGTCCTGGCCGTTGACAACTCCCTGCCGAGGGGCCCTGTCCCCTCCCCAGCACAGTTCTTATTGGAGATCAGTATTCAGTTTGTCCCTGCAGGGATGCCCGGACCACAGGCGGTGTTTTCCTAGTTGTCTGATGGGCTCAGCCTGCCCAGCAGGTCTGGAGTCACATGACCAGGGAACTGCTTGACCCCGACCAACGAGTCACTGCTGGAGTTGGGGTAGGCTGGGGGGCGGGGACAACTTGGACCCCCGTCATCATCCAGGTACCAAGGAGGGTATGTCAGGGGTGACACCTGGAGGACCCCGCCCCGCCTTCACTCTTGTTCCACTCACACACCATACATGGATTCTGTATACACAGGGTGGCACATGAATGCTCCATGAGCTATGCTGGTAAAGAACCAGCATCCAGGAGGTGCTTGCTGAGTGTGCCAGGCCTTGGCCATGGCCTGGGTCAGCACACAAGGCATCTGCTCAGGTGATGCCCTATGGGTGGGACTGCCATGAGCCTGGCACCCACAGGTGCTCACTGAGTGTGCCCGGCCTTGGCCAGCACGCTGGGTGCCTGGTGGGTGGCACTGCCATGAGCCTGGCACCCACAGGTGCTCACCCAGGGCTCAATGAGCTGTCCTGCATTAACCCTATTGTTTTGTACCCACACATGGCCGGGGTGGGGAGGGGCTGCAAAGTCGTCTGGTTGAGTGGAAAATTACGATTTTGTGGAAAAATGGAATTAAAGGAGTTGATTTTGGTACAAAAAAAAACCATACTGAAATCTGTGTATTTTGTCATAGTATGTATTCTTGGTGAACTTTATGAAGACATTTGATGTATACTGACCTTTTTTTCTTGCTGTCATTTTTAAACCTAATCTTTTATTGTTATTCTCCATGATGTAGTTGAGAAGTGTTGGGGTTCCCCACTTTCTCCTTAGTCTCCCCTCCAGCCCCCCGGTGGCAGTAGCAGGGAGCAGCTGGGACTCCTGGGGAGCTCTCAGCGGCAGTAGCAGGGAGCAGCTGGGACTCCTGGGGTGCTCACCTGGGGTGCTGGCTTAATGCAGGCAGTGGCTTAACCCACGCGGCACTGTGCTGGCCACTCACTTCCATCCCCCTAGCTTTCACTGATGTCGCCGTGTGTCTCCCAGCTGGTGGTTGTGAGGGAGGTGTGTGCGGGGTGTGTATTGTGTGGGGTATATGTGGGTATGTGTGTGGTCTGTGTACACGTGTATGTGGTGTGTATACATGTGTGGATCATGTCTGTGTGTCATGTGTGGTGTGTGTGTGTGGCGTCGTGTGCTCCTGCTCCAGGCAGTCCCCACAGCTTCAGCTTCTGCTCCTGGGGAGCCTGCCCTGGTTAGCTGTGTGGCTGCCATGGTGGGGGTGCTGAGGCCTGAACCGGTAGAGCCCCCACGGGCGTGGCCTGCGGGGAGGGTGCAGGTCTCCTGTGGGCGCTCAGCTCTGCCTCTCCTCGCAGGTTCATGAACCGCCGTGTGCCGGCCCACAAGCGCTACCAGCCCACGGAGTACGAGCATGCGGCTAACTGTGCCACCCACGCCGTGAGTAGCCTCTGGGGGGCTGGGTTGGAGACGGAGGGACCCTGGGTAGAAGACTCGGCCGATCTCGTGGTGCCCCCGAGCTGCCCAGGGCACCATGGCAGCCCTCACCATCCGCCGGGGTCCGAGCTGGAACGGGGCAGTTCACCGCTTAGTCATTCAGCACAGGGCTCTCACTGTGCGGGGTGCCGTCCTGAGGCGGGCAGTGGGGTCAGCCTGGGAGTCAGGCACCTGCAGAGTGGGGGTGGAGGAGCAGCCTGGGGGTCAGGTGCCTGCTTGGAGGGGGCTCTGGCTCCCCGCCGTGTCTGGCCAGCTTGGGGGCTGTGGCCGTGGTGCCTGTCACAGGTTCGCACAGCAGCCCACAGGGCAAAGTGGCAGCCAGAGCGGGCCTGGCTCCGAGTCCCAGTTCTACCCTTCAGCGGCTCCCAGCCCCTGTGAGTCCTGCTGGCACAACGGGAGGCATCCCAGCCGCCCCCAAGGTGGCTGTGAGTGTCAAGTGCTGCCCCACCCCCCAGGGAATACCCACTTTGGGGCTGGAGCGGGGAGGGGCTGCACTCAGCGCAGCAGGCGTCAGTAGCTGCTTGGCACCCAGCCCCCTGGCTCGTGCCTTTGTTCGTTGGGTGCCTTCTGCATGGCTGGGATGGGTCCTGGCAGGGACAAACGGGTCCCAGGATCTGTAGGTGGTCACAGAACGCCACAAAACACAATCAAGGCACCAGTACTGTGGTATAGCAAGTTAAGCCACTGCCTGCAGAACCAGCCTCCCATACGGGTGCCGGTTCAAGTCCCGGCTGCTGCACCTACCATCCAGCTCTCTGCAGATGGCCTGGGAAAGCACTGGAGGTTGGTTCAAGTGCTTGGGCCCCAGTACCCACACGGGAGACCAGGCACCTCCTGGCTTGGGTCGGGCATGGCCCTGGCTGTTGCGGCCATTTGGGGAGTGAACCAGCAGTTCTCTTTTTCTGCCGTTCCAAATAAATAAGTAACTTAAAATTACGCACACACACAGTGTCGGGGTGGACGGCCCAGTGCGTGTACACTAGCAGTATTTGTTTTTTAAGGCGATACTGTAAGATCTATGAAAGTGATTAAAAATTATTATTTGAGAGGAAGACTTAGACGCGGGGATCTTCCATCCACTGGTTCACTCCCTAAATGGCTGTGGTGTGAAGCAGCCAGGAGCCTGGAGCCCAGCTGGGTCTCCCACAGGGTAGAAGGGCCCAGGTACTTGGGCCATGCTCTGGTGCAGTAGCAGAGCTAGATTAGAAGTGGAGCAGCCAGGGCTAATTCTCACATGAGCTACCGGCATGGCAGGCAACGGCTGGACGTGCTGAGCCAAAATGCCAGTGCTGAAATGCCGGCATGGCAGGCAACGGCTGGACGTGCTGAGCCAAAATGCCAGTGCTGAAATGCCGGCATGGCAGGCAACGGCTGGACGTGCTGAGCCACAATGCCAGTGCTGAAATGCAGAGGTGAGCCTGGGACCCAGCTAAGGCTCGGTTCCTCGGTGGGCTGGCACCTCTGTGGAGCTGCGTGCTGGGGGTGGGCCAGCATTGGCACGTGGGAGCTGTGGGTGATGGGGCCTGTGGCAGGAGGAGGGCTCGGATGCTGCGGAAGCAGAGAACGGTGGGACAGGCAGGGCATGTCTGTCGCAGTGAGATTTCATTTGGCTTTTTAAAATTTATTTATTTTTTTAAAAAAACTTATTTATTTGAAAGGCAGAGGGAGAAAGATCAAAGAACTTCCATCCTCTGGTTTACTTCCCAAATGGCCTCAGAGGCTGGGGCTGGGCCAGGCGGGAGCCAAGGAGGCAGGGACGAATGCAGCAGCGTGTCCACGGAGCCTGGGAATCGAACACAGGGTCTCAGTGTCCGTGTCCACGCCACTGGCCGCGGCCCCATGGATTACTGTGGAGGCGCAGGAGGCAGTGTGTGCCTAGGGGAGATTGGGGGCCCGGCCTGGCACAGCGGAGGCTGCAGTGTGCCCCCATGCCCTCCCCGCAGTTCTGGATAATTCCCAGCATCCTGGGCAGCTCCAACCTCTATTTCCTGTCGGACGACGACTGGGAGACCCTGTCGGCCTGGGTCTACGGCCTTGGCCTCTGCGGCCTCTTTGTGGTCTCCACCGTGTTCCACACTGTCTCCTGGAAGAAGAGCCATCTCAGGTACTTCCTGCCCCGCCCGCGGGCATGCGCCCGTGCTCCTGGCCACACCTGACCTTCCTGCAGCGCGCCCTCCACCTGCTGTCCTGGCTTCCCCACCCCCACGTGCCTGTCCCAGCCCGCCGGGACAAGTGACCACACGCTGGGTGGCCGGGTGCTCTCCCAGCTCTGCCAGCACGAGGACCATCATCTGGGTGTCCCAGGGAAGGTGGTCCCAGGTGTCCCTGGCCCCGTGCACCTGCTGTGGTCCCTGCTTCTGTCTGTATGGGGCCGCTGCCTGGGTCATGTGTCCCAGCCGTCCCCTCTCCTTTTCACCCCTAAAGGCGCAGCCATCGCTGCGTGGCTATGTGGAACTGTGCAGTCTCTGTCTGTGACACGCTTGGTCCTTGAGTGTGGTTGCCCAGCTGCCAGTCACTGCCCCTTGGTGCGTCCCTGCCCCGCCATCTGATGTCACCACGTCTCCTAAAGCACGTGGCTTCAAATGACCACAAATGTGTCTTGCGCGGCTTTGGGGCTCAAGGGTTTGAAAGTTTGCTGTGTGGCCACGTGTGGCTCCTGCCTGGCATCCTCCGAAGTCTGCAATGTTCGCTCCAGAGGCTGCCCCGGCCCTGTTGGTTGTGGACGCTGGGGGATGCGCAGTGCCTGCTGGCGTGGCCGCTGTCTGACCGCGTGGCCGCTCCCCACGCGCGTGGCCGCTCCCTGCCTGCGTGGCCGCTCCCTGCCCACGTGGTCAGGGATGTGCAGTGTCCTTTCTTCCTCTGAAACCTTTGGAAGGAAAAGCCCAGCACAACATTCGTGCCGATTAAGACCGGGGGATGGGCCGGAGCTCTACCGCCAGGCCCGGAGGAGCCCGGCTGCCTGGCCATGGCCTCTCCTCTCTGTCCTCCCAGGATGGTGGAGCACTCCCTGCACATGTCTGACCGAATGGTCATCTACTTCTTCATAGCGGCCTCCTACACGCCCTGGTGAGTACTGCGGTGCGGCCCACGGCTGCTTCCCGGCTGGCAGGGCTGCACCGACCCCCACGTCCGCCAGGCCTGGGCTGAGGGCCTCTCCCGCCTCCCTCCCGCGGCAAACATGCCTTGCCCGTGTTTCCCGACTGCGTGGGTTGGTTTACGCATCAGAAAGCAGCTGTGGTGTGTGTGTTTACCTGTGTAAGCGTGTGTGCGTTCCTATGTATACAGAGCTTACAAGTGCATTTGAGGTCTGGTTGACAGGTCAGCCATGTGTCACTGTTTTGTGCACGGCACATGGTTTGCTCTAACTAGCCCATGCTGTGTGCACAAAGAAACAAGTCTGTCCCCACAAGGCCCCCTTGGCCATCGCCACCACGAGTCAATACGCCCAGACTTGTCTGTTAGTTGCCATCTGCCTTTGGTCCCTGACAGGCGCTGTCAGTAATATGGGGACTGTGCTGGCCCGGTGGCTTGATGGCCTGGTGTGGTGGCTGTGCTGGTCTGGGGCTGTGGTGGTGGCTGTGCTGGCCCGGTGGTGTGGTGGCTTGATGGCCTGGTGTGGTAGCTCTGCGGGCCTGGGGGTGCTGGGTGGCTGTGCGGGCCCGGTGGTGGTGGTGGTGGTGGTAGCTGTGCTGGCCTGGTGTGGTGGCTGTGCGGGCCTGGTGTGGTGGCTGTGCGGGCCTGGGGGTGCTGGGGTGGCTGTGCGGGCCCGGTGGTAGTATGGTGTGGGCCTGGTGGCTTGGTGGCTGTGCTGGCCTGGCTTGGTGGCTGTACGGGCCTGGTGTGGTGGCTGTGCGGGCCTGGGGGTGCGGGGGTGGCTGTGCAGGCCAGGGGGTGCGGCGGTGGCTGTGTGGTTTGGGCACAGGGGTCTGGGGTGAGTGTGAGCTATTGAACAGCAGTGGCTGAGTGCCCGGGGTGGGGGGCAGACAGAGGAGGAAGGGCAAGGGTGAGCAACGCCGGCCAGCATTGGAGGCATAGGAGCCGGGCTGCCCTCTGCAGGTGGTCGGCAGGTGTAGCGCCAGACACAGGTGGGCTTGGATGTGGTACAGGGCTCCAGGGGTGCTCCTGGCGACAGATCCCTGTGGGCGCGTTGGGGAGGGGATGGGTGGCAGGGCTGCTAACAGGGAACCCCCTCCCCCTTGAGGGTCCCAGCGCTCGCTCAGGCATCGGCACCACTGCTGGCAGGGCCAGGGAGGAAGGGAGAAGGGAGACTGCTCCAAAGGGTGAAGCGGCTAGACCGTCAAGGTCCCCCTCAGGGCACACGGGACCAGGCCTGCCGAGGTCCCCTCGGAGGAGGGGCTTGGAGTGATGTCCGGCTGCCCTGACTATAGCCCCAGCCCCATAACTTGGGGGGCGTTTTGTGCCGGTGCTGCAGAGCTGAGACCCTGTGGGATCGTGAGAGACACAGCGCCCCCTGGCGTGCACTGTGTGTGTGCATGAGCTTGTATATGTGCGTGTGCGCGCACCTGCTCGTCTTCCCCACCGGGGCCTCCTCCGGCTTATCCCGCCTCAGGACAAGCTGGTATGAAGCTCCGTGCTGAAGTCTCCAGTTTCTGCAGCCCCATGTCGCTGAGGGCGGGCAGTCGGGGACCACGCATGTCCAGGTTATCCATCTCTGTTCCTGTCCCCGCTTTCCTGCTGGCCCACAAGGGCCTTCAAGTGGACTTCAACAGAGCCCAAGACAAGACGGGAAAAAACAAGCCATCCAGGTGGAAACAATGAATTACAGAAACAGACTGGGAAAAAGCAGTGGTGTTCCAGGATAATCCTCTGTCTGTGGTGCTGGCATCCCATGTGGGTGCTGGTTTGGGTCCCGGCTGCTCCATTTCTCATCCGGCTCCCTTCTAGGGCACCTGGGAAAGCACTGAAGGATAGCCCAAGTGGTTGGCTCCCTGGTCCCAAACGGGAGACCCAGAACAAGCTCCCAGCTGCCAGCTTCGGGCCGGCCTCCCCTTTGGAGAGTGACCCAGCGCATGGAAGAGGCTCTCGCTGCCTCTCCTTCTCTTTCTGTAACTCCGCTATTCAATTAGATAAAGAAAGAAAATCTTAAAAAAAGAAGTAGACTGAAGGACAAAAATCCACGTTGTATTAGAATCGATTGGTAAATCCAGGTCATGCAAAAAATGGCTGAATACCAAATACTGACCTAGAGAAAAAGCTTCAGGAAACCAGAGAGGATGTATGCATTTTTAGAAAGCCTAAATGTGAGGCAGTCAGAAGTTACTGACGTGAAGGACGGAGAGGTTGTTCAGCCACTGAGCTGAGACAGAAGAAAAGAGGGAGAGAGTCCGGCTGGCTGCTTGTTTTTGAAAGGCACCTTTATACAGAGGAGGAGAGACGCAAAGATCTTCCATCTGTGGGTTCACTCCCCAACTGGTCACAGCAGCCGGAGCTGAGCTGATCTGAAGCCAGGAACCTCTTCCAGGTCTCCCACACCGGTACAGGATCCCAAGGCTTTGGGCCGTCCTCAACTGCTTTCCCAGGCCACAAGCCGGGAGCTGGATGGGAAGTGGGGCTGCCGGGATTCAAACTGGTGCCCTATGGGATGCTACATGGCTTACACAGTGAGGTTTCCAAATCTCCATCAGCCGTTAGCGTTATGTCGGGGTTCACTCGTCTCCATGTCCGGGGAGACAGTGCCAGCGCAGCCTGTCACGCCTCTAAAATGCATCACTTCCCTGTGCTGGGAGACCTTGAGGTTTGCTCGGCTGTTTTGCACTGCAGTTACCTCGTCGGCTGTGGCCTTGCCCCGGGCAGTGTCCAGCACTCCCCTGGCCAGCTGCACCTCAGCCCTCCTCCTCTGGCTGCTGGACTTGACATGAAAGCAGCTGCCAGGAGCTCCCGCTGTGTCAGCGAGGCCAGCATCCCGTAGGGGTGTCAGACATTCCGGAGAAGGGGTGCTGCACGGCACGTTGTGTCAGCCTTTCCAGCATTGCACCTCTCCCGAGAGCTGCCTCTGTTGGGGATCCCTTCTCCTGGCCGCCCCCCACAGGCTGACGCCGGGTGCCCCTCCAGACTCTTTCCTTCACCTTCTGTCCCCAGGCTGAACCTCCGGGAGCTGGGCCCCTGGGCCTCGCACATGCGCTGGCTGGTGTGGCTCATGGCCTCCGTGGGATCTGTCTATGTCTTCTTCTTCCACGAGCGGTAAGCCAGGGCCAGGGTGGAGATGGGGGTACCCCCTGACACACACAGCAGGGCCCCCTCGGTGCCCTTGGGTGCCCTGTGGTGGACCCCGCACCCAGAGGTTTTGTAAAGGATATTCCAGGTGCATCGAGCTGGAAGATGCTCTGTCCCCTTGCCCTAAGTGGGGATGGCCCATGAAAGCGAGAGGGCTTGGCATCGGTTGAGAGAAGCTGCTTGGGCTGTGGGGGTGGGGGAAGCTGCTGGGATCAGATAGTCATGTCTGCCCCGGGCACAGTGCCAGGAGTGCCCTCGTGTTATGGTTACCCCTGTTCTGGTTCTAACCCTCTTTGACCCTCGTGGAAATTGAGTCTCAGAAAGGGAAAGAGACCTCCCAAGGCCGCACAACCGGTGAGCACCAGACAGGGCAGCGCCGTGCCAGGGTCTGGCCGGGGTGTCGCCTCCACGCGGTCTGTCCCCCGAGGCCCACCGGCTGTGTGTCTTTCCACCAGGTACAAGTTGGTAGAGTTGCTGTGTTACGTCGTGATGGGCTTTTTCCCCGCCCTGGTCGTCCTGTCCATGGTGAGTCCTGAGCCGTCGTGCCGAGCCCTGTCGGAGGCCCAGGGGTCCGCAGCAGCTGTCCCAGTACAGGTGCAGTGTGGGGTGGGCAGCCAGGGGGCAGGGCTGAGGCTCGGGCTGTGCTGGGCCCTCCCATGTCCCTTGGTCAGGGCTGCACGGCCTTGCTTCTCAGAGTCTCGGTTCCGCCATCTGTCAGGTGGCCGCAGGGACCTTAGCCCAGCCACCTGCCTGAGTCAGGCACAGGTTCGTACCTGAAGTGGCAGCAGTGAGACAGTGCGGGACCTGAGTGTAGTCCAATCTGGTAGGATTTTAAACAACACTTTCTGGTTTTTACCTGCAAGGTTGCGATGCTGAGGGCTAGGGACACATTTGTCCAGGTTTTGTCCCCATTACTTCTGGCTTTTTTTTTTCCATTAAGAATTATTTATTTGAGGGGCAGTTGCAGTGGCTCAATTAGCTAATCTTCTACCTGCCAGCACTCCATAATGGCACCGGTTCTAATCCCGGCTGCTCCACTTCCCGTCCAGCTCCCTGCCTGTGGCCTGAGAAAGCAGCAGAGGACGGCCCAGAGCCTTGGGACCCTGCACTCGTGTCAGGAAGCTGGAGGAGACTCCCGGCTCCTGGCTTCAGATTGGCTCAGCTCTGGCCATTGCAGCCACTTGGGGAGTGAACCAGTGGATAGAAGGTCAGTCTGTCTGTCCTTCTCTTTGTAAATCTGCCTTTCAAGTAAAAATAAGTAAATATTTTTAAAAAGAATTGTTTATTTGAAAGTCAGAGTTAGAGAAATGCAGGAACGGAGAGAATCCGAGAGATTGATCCTGCCTGCTGGTTCGCTCCCTCCGTGCTGCCCTGGTCAGGACAGCCCAGGCTGGCAGACAGGAACTCCTGCCAAGTCACCCTCCTGGAGGCAGGAAGCCACTTACATGAGCCAATATGGCTGCCCCCCAGGCCCTGTACTTTTTTTGGAGAGCAGATACACAGAGAGGAGGAGAGATAGAGGAAGATCTTCCACCTGTTGATTCACTCCCCAAACAGCTGTAACGGCTGTAACTGAGGCAATCCGAAGCCAGAAGCCAGGAGCTTCCTCCAGGTCTCCCACGCGGGTGCAGGGTCCCAAGGCTCTGGGTTGTCCTCAACTGCTTTCCCAGGCCACAAGCAGGGAGCTGGATGGGAAGCTGGGCTGCCGGGATTAGAGCTGGTGTCCAAATGGGATCTTGGCGCGAGCAAGGTGAGGACTTTAGCCAGTATGCTGTCACACCAGGCCCCCAGGCTCTGTATTAACAGGCTTCGGGAGGTTGGTGCACACGGGGCAGGCGTCGGGAGGTCGGTGCACACGGGGCAGGCGTCGGGAGGTCAGTGCCCACGGGGCAGGCGTCGGGGGCGGGGGTCGGTGCACACAGGGCAGGTGTCTGGAGGTCGGTGCCCACGGGGCAGGCGTCGGGAGGTCGGTGCCCACGGGGCAGGCATCAGAAGGTCGGTGCACACGGGGCAGGCGTCGGGAGGTCAGTCCGTGCTGGCGTCAGCATGAACTTGCTTTCTCAGACTGCTGAAACGCAAGCCTCAGCCAGTGTCCTTAGAAGAGGCCGATGTTGAGCACAGGTTCAGTCGCTGTCTGCAGCGCTGGTATCCCTTGCAGGCAGGAGTTTGAGTCCTGCTTGCTCCACTTCCCGAGCCAGCCCTCTGTTCGTGAGCCTGGGAAAGCAGCAGAGGGTGACACGTGCGTGGGTAGACCCGATGGCGTTCCAGGCTCCGGGCTTCAGCCTCGGCCCAGCCTCTGTTAGCGAGGTCTTTTGGGGAAGGAACCAACAGAATGAAAATCTCTCTGATTGTACCTTTCAGATAGGTAAAATCTGAGAAATCGGAGCTCCGGTCTGCTCTCTGAGCGTCTCGGGGAGCGTGTGACAACGGGGACCTGGGTTTGGGAGGCTGGTGATGTCCCATGACTCCATCAACCTCGTCACGTGTGTCTTGCAGTTTGGGTGGCTGGCAAACGACTGGGCGCCCATGGCCTGGCCGGCTGCCCTTCTGACCTGTGCCCTGCCCTTGTCCGTAGCCCAACACCGAGGGCGTCTGGGAACTGCTGACCGGCGGCGTCTTCTACTGCCTGGGCATGGTGTTTTTCAAGAGTGACGGCAGGATCCCCTTCGCCCATGCCATCTGGCACCTCTTCGTGGCACTCGGCGCTGGCACCCACTACTATGCCATCTGGAGGTACCTCTACCTGCCCAGCACCCTGCAAGCCAAGGTGTCCAAATGAGCCAAGCAGATGCCACACGTCGCTCTGGCTGCGCTTCTGCCAACTCCGGCCCGGCGCACGGTGCCAGGGCCCAGCCGCACTTCCGTGGGCAGCTTCCCGATGGGACCGAGCTTGCTTCTGGTGCCGCCCCTCAGGCCCCAGCGAGACAGCAGGCACGTAGTCGTCTCCCAGAGGAGAAATTAACCCTAGAATTTCTGTTTTAGACCAGAGTTTCCTAACACAACCATCGTTCACAGGCTCAGAAAAGGTGCCAGGCCGATTGAGGAAGGACGGGCCCAGACGGACTGCAACTTGGGGTCCTGGGAACCCCGAGGAGGAGGAGCCTGCAGGGCACCCCCTTCACCCCCCACTTCTGCTGCCCAAGTCCGCTGCTGAGGGAGGTCGTGTCTGCGATCCTGCCTGACATTACCTGTCAATTGCAGCACGTGCTAACTTCAGGATTTTTTGCCACCTGGCGGTCTGGGCAGCCTGATGGAGCGTCCTTCCCTTCCCAGCTGGGTGCTCTGAATGGGATCAGCACAGGCAGGGGCGTGCTTGTCTCTCACCCCCAGCGCCGCCCACTCCCGCTCCCTTTTTCTGCTTGGAGAAGTTGGAAGGGCTGTGAGTGGGTGAGTGGGCATGAGGGCCATAGATGGGGACGACAAGCACGTGGAGCCTGCGTGCCAGCTTGAGGCATCTTCAGGGCCCATGACAGCACCGTTTGGCAGTGCTCTGGCTTGGGGGCCAAGCAGCAGCTCGTTCGAGGGGCGTGGGGCACCGATGCCTCAGCCCCAGATGTGCCCTTCGGCAGGGCTCCCAGCCAGCTGCTGTCCTTGGAGAGGGGTCCGTGCCAGTTGAAGGACCCAGGCAAAGGATCAGCAGGGCGGGAGAGGGGGGCACAGGACAAAAACAAGATGCCTCAGGGTCTGTTCTGGAACATTCCAGAGCACGGCAGGGCTTTGGCACCTGTACTCCCCTGGAGTCGTCCGGATATGTCTGCCCTCAGGTGGGCAGCCTCTGAGCTGGGGGCTTTGGGGGTCCTGCAGGTGTCTGCCTCCAGCTGGCGTCTTGTCTGGGAAAGAGGCTTGACCTTGAGCCCCGGTGAGATCCAGAAGGCTCCTGAGGGGTGGCACCATGCTGAGCTGGTCCCTGGGCTGGCACGTTCCTTGCACATTTGATCTCATCTTGCCCCCTGTGAGGTGCCCACCACCCACTGTGCTCCCCGTGCCGAAAGAGGGGACTGCATCTTGCTAGACCTGACAGCAAATGCATGGCTCTGTCTGAGTGCTTGGGCCCAAACTTCTCGGGGTCTCAGCCTCTTCTCGGGGGGCTGCAGGAAAACAGACGCACAGAATCCAGCCTCGCAGTTTGACTCACTGGACTGTCCCGCTTGCCCAGCACCTCGGCGTGCAGTGATGCTTGCTCAGTGGTCTCGGCTGAAGGGATACGTCATTCATGGCAGGTGTTCCAGCTGTGCAGGGGCTGTGGGGGGCGGGGACAGTGGAGGCCTGCTTGGCATTTGGGCAACCTCGAAGGGGTGCCTGTCCTTGGGGAGGAGGGCACAGCTGGGGCAGAGTGAGTGGAGGAAGCTGGTGAGGGCGGAAGGGACGAAGGTGAGAGCAGGGGAGCTACTCGGTGGGTGCGTGCTGGCTAGGGAAGGGGGCCTCTGTGCCCACCTGGCTGGGGTACTGCCCTGTGAGGTGCTGGGCAGAGCGAGCAGGCCTGGACCCAGGGCTGTGGCTGTTCAGCCAGCGAGAGCTTGGAATCCATGCCCCAAAGCCAGCAAGACTGTCAGGTGAAGGACATGCAGGGGTGGTGTGGAGGACAGCTGGGGTGGGGGACACGCGGGGGTGGCACGCAGGACGGCCAGGGAGGGGGAAAGCAGGGGTGAGGACAGCCGGAGGGGACTGCAGGGTGGTATGGAGGACAGCTGGGGTAGGGGACATGCAGGGATGGTGTGGAGGACAGCTGGGGTGGGGGACATGCAGGGGTGGTGGAGGACAGCTGGGGTGGGGGACATGCGGGGTGGGAGCGGGGTGGGGGACACGCGGGGGTGGCACGCAGGACAGCCAGGGAGGGGGACATGCAGGGGTGATATGGAGGACAGCCGGGGTGGGGGACATGCAGGGGTGATGTGGAGGACAGCTGGGGTGGGGGACACGCGGGGGTGGCACACGCACTAGAGCCAGGGGGGGGGGCCTTGCACGTGCCTGCAAGGCGTGGGTCTCAGCCCAGCCAGTCCTGTCTTCCTCCTTGGCTGGCAGCCTTCTCCCTCTGTGGGGCCTCAGGCCCTGCCGATGGCCAGGGGATGCGGTGTGCCCTGCAGGTGCCAGGCGGGGGCAGCTGGAGTATCCAGGGTGGGGAGATAGGTGGTTGTCAGGTCTGCTTTGCCCTTGGGCTCTGCAGAGAGCCGATCCCAGCAGCCGCTAACTGTGCTGTGGCATTAGGCGGGGGGCAGCAGCGCCAGGTGGCAGCCAAGGCGTGGCATCGCAGTCTTGTCTTTGTGCTGGTTTTCCCAGGTACTCTTTCTTGTGAAGGGGATGGCCTCCCCCCGGGGCGGGTGGGCTTGGGGTCCATGGGGGTCCATGCTCCGAGAAAGGTTTAGTGCTTTTTCTCAGGGTTCCTGGCCCGGACCGAGTGAGCCACCTTGGGTGCCCAGGTGTTGTGCTATTGGTCTGGCTCTCTGCTTCCACTCGGTGTCCCCAAAACTGATTTTAAAAATTGAATGATAAAAAAGAAGCCGGGCCTGGCATGTAGACGACCGTCCTCCGTGGTTCCCATGTTGCTGCAATGGCTGGATTCAGGCCTGCAGTGTCGAGGGCCTGCGTCAGCCCCGACTGGCCACGGCCAGCACCCCTGCCCGCTGTTGCCAGCTGTGCCCTCCCAAGTGCCTGGATGCAGACCAACTGGGCGGACCCTGCCTCCCCGGACCCTGGTGTTGTCCCTGTAGCATGGCATCCATGGGCAGCAAAGGCTTGTGTTCCTTTAGAAAGGCCAATGTTCCCTGGTTTTGTGGGGTTCCCCCCCCAGTTTTGGAGACTACAGCTCAGAGAAGTGGAGGGACTTACCAGGGACACACAGCAGTCAACGGCTGGCAGATGTGTGCCGGCTGCCACCTTGCCCTCTGCCACTTGTGATGCTGGTAGTCCCAGCTCAGGGCTCTGGAGGGACGGTGGAGGTGGGGCTGGGGGGCATGTGTCAGCCTCGTGTTGTCCGTGCGCGTGGGAGGGTGCGTGGGAGGGAGGCTCCTCTCAGCGGCTAAACGTGCAGGCCAATGCCAGCTGAGACCATCCCACGCTGGCCGAGGTTCCCATGCAGACTTTCACAGGCTCCTTTGGAAGAAGGTGTGGCTGGGTAGCAGGGTATTCTGGAGGAGGTGCGTGTGTGTCCCAGCTCAGGCCCGGTGCAGGTTTGCGGGGCTCCCGTTCCCTGTGAGGTGCACCTGCCCAGGCTGCCGCCGTGAACCCAGGGAGCTGGGTCCCAAAGGCCTCAGGTTTCCCTGAGGGTTCCACGTGCAGGTGCGGACCTGGGCTGTCGCGGGGAGGGTTCTGCAGGCCCGGGCTGTGGGCCAGTGGCCTCGGTCACGGGGCCTGGGATCCCTCCGTGCTCTGCAAAGCCAGCGAGGCCCCAGTCAGCTCTGGGTGCACTCCGTCTGCTCACACTCAGCCAGGCAGAGGCAGGTGCTAGAATATGTAAACTGTGTTAGAGCAAGCCCACGTCAGGTTAGCAGAGGGGAAACTTTTTTTTTTCTGTTAGAAGCAACTGTTTTTCCAAGCAAGAGGCATGTCAGGAGAAGCAGGGCGTTGCCCGACAGCTTTTTTTGCGAGTTCTTAACTTAGAGGAAACTGGACTCTCCCATCTGGCTCTGCTTTAGTCTGCTCTGACGTCACGTGTCCAGTGGCCTGCAGGGAAAGCTGTGGTCAAGGGCCGAAAGAAGGGGTGGGGGAAAGACCTGATGTCATGGTATTGTTATAAAGCCACTCCCGGGCACCTGGCCCAGACCCTGTGCGGAACCGCTGATCCAGAAGGTTCTCGTGGGAGGACTGGGGCAGAGCAGCCCCAGCCACCGCACGATCCTGCTTGGAGGGATCGGGGTGCTTTGGGGGGAGTGGCTGTCTGAAGGTGCCCACCACGACGGCCAGGCTTTTTCAGAACAGCGAGTTTTCCGTCAGACAGACGGAAGTGCTGGTGGGAGCGACCACCCTGTAACTGCCCTCAACATTTTAGTGCTTTCTGCTACTTATAAAAAAAAAATTGTGTTTAGTGCTTTTCCTTTAATTTGGAGACCAAAGAGAAAGCGTGCGAGAGAAAGGGAGATCGTCCAAGCTCTGATTCACTGCCCGCGTACCTGCAGTGAATCAAGCCAGGAACCAGCTCTCCACCGGGGGCTCTGCTGGGATGGGCAGCCCCCCGGACCGGGGCCAGCATCTGTTGCCTTCCCAGTGTGTACTGTAGCGGGAAGTGCCACCAGCAGCCAAGTAACCAGGCCATTCTTTTTCAGATTTATTATTATTCCTTGACAGGCAGAATTAGGCACACACACAGAGAATCGTATCTGCTGATTCACTTCCCAAATGACCACAACCACAGGAGCTGAGCCCATCTGAAGCCAGGAGCCTGAAGCGTCTTCCAGGTCTCCCACACGGGTGCAGGGTCCCAAGGAGCGGGGCCATTCTCCACTGCTTTTCCAGGCTGTCGGCAGGGAGCTGGACAGGACTCGAACTGGTGCCTGTGTGGGATGACGGCGCCCGGTAATGGGATGCAGGCATCCTTAGCAATGCTGTGCCAACTCCTCACCCTGTTCCCTGTAGACTGTTCTATCATTCCAAGCCCTCTGGCCTTGTGGTTTTGCAGTCTAGCTCAGTGGCAGCCTTGCAGTTCCCCCAAGTCCTCTGGAGTGCGCAGCTAGAGGCCGTCCTCCCAGACGCTCCAGGCCTGGCGTGGGATGATGTCGTGTTTGTATGTGACCTCAGGTCCTCTGCGGGCAACTTGGGTTCCCCGTGTGGTGTGAGCGCTGCCGGG